ATCGAGTCGCAGCCGGGGGAACACCGACACGTCATTCATCAAAATTGGTTGGCACTGGCCGCCTCTGTCCCTCCTCCTCCGAGGTGTGGCGAAGTCGCTTGCTTGGGTTGGCGAGGAGTCTTGGCATGGCTGTGATCGTGGGGTGCGCGTCGTCGAGCCGACGGGCATGCATGTATGCATGCAGTTGGGTATGTGCATGGGTTCGAATCTGTAGAGGAGATGATGTAGTGCAAGGGACCTTGCTCACCCTCACACCAAACTTCGGCACCCCAGTGACAACGGCGAGCCAGCGCATCCAGACCAGAGCACGCAACAGACCCCTTGTCCAATGGACGTTGACGTCGTGGCGGCGGATGATGCCCCCTCGACTTCGAGACCTCTTGCATCCGCGGGCCAGGTGATTGTGTTGGGTGGACTGAGTTGGTTTATTTGATTGGTGTGCGACAGGCCTGGCTGTGGCGGAGTGAGGATGTGATTCTTAAGTTTGGTGTCTGCAACTTATAGGCGAATACACACATCCCACCCCGTGTTTTCTCGCCCTGTGTCGCAGGACTCTCAGACGCCCCCTGTGCCACCCGGCGTGGTCAACAAGCTGGACGATGCGGAGAAGAGGGATCAACAGTGGCAAAACGACGCCACGGTGAACGAGTGGCGGACGGCGCCCGGCGAGGCGGGCACGCTAGGCCGATTTGGGAAGGTGTGTGAGGACTTGGTGTGCCACTTCGGAGGGGGGGCCTCTGGGGGCCACTGGAGTGTCCCCAAGCATGCGTGGCTCTGCTGATCGAGACACCCAGACACACACACCTATCGACACCCTGCGCCCGCACTATGACAAACTGTAGGTGCTCGGTGACTACACCACAACCTCAATCAAGACAACATGGAACGGCTTCCGGGACATTCCCAAGAAGAAGAAGGAGAAGAAGGAGAAGAAGGAGAAGAAGAAGGGGCAGCAGCAGCAGCAGCAGCAGCAGCAGCCCGTGCTGGATGCGCTGCGTACGACCACGGACGACGTCGTAGCCGTCCTCTCCGAGTTCCGCACCGTCGGCGACCTCTTCGCCACCTTCCACGCCATCCGCATGGTGGAGGAGTTCGAGCGGCGGAAGCAGGCTGGCCGGGCGGATGCGGATGCGGCGCTGCAGCTGCTTGACCAGACATTCTTCTACAGGTGGGTCTCGTGCGCGGATGATCAGACAGGGGCGGGAAAAGGGTGGGGTGAGTTGTAGGCGAACTGATGCCGTGGATTCCTTGTTTGATAGGGAATGGAGGGTCCCATGTGAGCAGGTCGTGTGTGCTGGTTGGATCAGGAATGCTT